TCATCATCTGAAACTAGAAAAGACTTTTTTGATGGTTCAAACCTATTCTTGTACATTTTTTTTGGAAATTAATAGAAAATAATAGAAATATATAACAAAATAAATCCAACATTACCAATTTATTAACTAGCACTTTATCTAGTACATGATCAATTTCTTACCTTTTGTTTTTTTTAAACACTAAAAAGTCAAACACGTGACCTTTAAGATCTAGTGACATTAGTCATCAGTGAATTCTCCCTTGAACAGGTATCGAAACCCGTCCCTTGCAAACTATGTTAAAAAAAAAAACACTAAGAAGTCAGGGGAAGAGGGATAACAATTTCTTATCTTCTTTGAACCCATCATGAAGCTTGATTTCAATAGATACCTTATGACCCAAACATGAGTAGTTTGCCTTTTTCTTCATATATCTTTTTGTTCCCTCTGCTATCTTTTCCTCTTTTTTTGAAGTGTGTATTTCTTTGGTAAACATCACCCGTGTCTCGCGTAGCGCGTACTTACAAAGAGACTTTTTTTTTTTTTTTACTATTTTATTATTTTATTTTTCACATAATTGTAATAGTTATATTGTACGTAGACTCTTTATATAAGACTTGATTAATTACTACATTCCCATTTGCACCAAAAAAAAAAAAAATCCTGATCCGATAGCAAGTCCACTTTACTCTTACCATGTAATTAATTTAATTTAATCACTTTTCTTGTCAACAAGTTTATGCTTCATTACGTAATCACTTTCTCGTTTCCCAAAAAAAAGAGTAATCATTTTCTCTATTCCACCTTGGTCTTTTCCGGGTTCTTTGAGCAAAGCATTAGTCTGTTTACAAGTTCATATACTGGGCATGAATTCCCCCCATCCCCCATGTATATACTTCGCTCTTTGCAAAACTGTTATTTGTAGTTTACGACTTACTCTGTTATAAATGTTACAATAATTTTTAGCAATCTATTTCAAATTTTTAACAATTATTATAATATTTGAATTTTAAAATTAGTTTTTATGAATTTTAAAATATATAATTAAAAATTAATGTGAGATTTTTTAAAATTTATTTAAGTAAATTTTTATTTTATATATATTTTAATAAATAAACTTTAAAAAAGTGGCAAAAGGGGTCCATACTTGGAATCCTAAGGGAAATGATTGTTTAGTTACGAGAGCGGATTGCTAATAACATTCCAAAATTGTTAACAGCATTGCCAATTTCATACGGTACTGCCGTACTGGTAAGATAAGAAATGTGTGGTTGCAAGTAGGATTAGGGGCAATTTGGTTTCGGTTTAATTGAAATTAATATATGAATTATTTTTTGTAACTAAAATTAAATTAAAAATATTTGTAGATTTTTAATTTAGTGATCAAAATGATTGATTTTAATATTTCAATTATCAATTATAACTAAATTAACATTAAATGTTTATTTTAATTTTAACTATAAATA